ATTCCTAGCAACATTGTCACATTCTGAACTTAGGGCAGAACTTCACACTAAGTTTTGCTTACAGCTTTCCATGTTTCTCTAACATGATTCTCTAAAACTTTTCAAATCCTTCCTGAAAACCAGAGTCTTCTGAACTACAGTGGGCAGGAATAGTTACAGCAACCTCATTTCTTACACACCCATTTTCTGTATTGGTCTTTCTGTTGCTGGAACAAAATACTCACTGACACAATTTAAAGAAGGGGAGGGTTTATTGTGGCTCATGGTAGCAGAGGTTTCAGTCCGTGGTCAGCTGGCTCCTTGCAAGAAATATCATGTTGGAAAGACAAGAGGAGGAAAACTGCTAAAATCATGGCATTCAAGAAGCAGAGAGCAGAGAAAGAGCACCAGAGAGAAAGGGGCCAGGAACCAGATATACTTGCCAAGGTCAGACTTCCATGCCTCACCCACATGTGTGCTTTACTAATTTCCTAGATGTCTTTCAAGCCAATCAAGTTGACAACCAAGATTAATTGTCATACTTTGTAGGCCTGATGGCCTAATTTAGGGGAGAAGGGAAAAATCAAAGAGGTCTTTCTTTGTCATTTTCAGTAGGCCAAAGTAGAATACTGTAAAGTACTGTGTCATCAGTGCCCTCTACTTTTATTCCATGATGTCATGTTGTTCTTGTCTCAAATCAACTTGTACCTCATTTATATGAAGGTTATTCCTCAAACACAGTGCCTCTTGAGTGGATTGGAGTACTTAATGAATAAGTATTGATTGATGACTTATTAGGACGATTTGTCATTGTTGATTACAATGAAAGACAGAATGGTGAGCTCACCCTTGTTCAGGGGTCAGGACATGATGGAGAATGCAAAACGTGAACAGTCACTTACATAGCATAAGGAACACATATGTGGACTTTATGTCTGGTTCCTAGATTGCAGTTCCTAAAATCCTTAGACTCTCCAGAGAGATGAATATTTCATATGCTAATAAGATTAATGGTGTCTGAGTGCCTCTGTGTAGCTTTTAGGAAGGACTAGGGGCCAGGGGTTAAATTCAATCACAATATCCAATGATTTTTTTCAACTATGCCTTTGTAATGAACCCTTCTTGAAAACCCCTAAACAACAGGGTTTGGAAAGCTTCTAGAAAGGTAAGCATATCAGATACTGAGAGGCTGGTGTGTCTGGAAAGAGTGTGGGAGTTCTAAACCTCCCCTCCTCACTCTTTGCCCAATTTATTACCTCCACTTGGTGCTTCCTAAGTTGCATCCTTTGTAATAAACTGGATGTAGTAAGTAAAGCCCTTTTCTAACTTTTGTGAACTGTTCTAGCAAATTGTTCAACCAGGGAGGGGGATTATAAGAATCCATAATTTATAACCAGTCGGTTAGAAATATGAGCAGACTAGGATTTGTGACTGATGTCTGAAATTGACAATGGTCTTGCAGGACTGAGCTCTTAATCTGTAAAGTATGACATAACTTGAGCAGTGAGCATCAGAAATACACTAACTTGTTGGATGTCCATTTGATATCCATAAAAATCAAAGACTTGGTCATTGTGCTGGAGAACATTCCAACTTGTCCTTGTAAATTTAAGCACGAAAGCCATGGTAGTAGATAGATTCAGAGAATCAGAGACTAAGACAGACTCAGAAAAGGACTGGAAGAGACAAAGAAAAGAGAAGGGACTGTAATGGATGTGCTGTAGCAGCAGACTCCCCCAGCCCTAGACAGGCCAAGCACAAGTAAGTACTGCTTAGGTAAAAGTTGTTGATGAGTGTGGCACCTGTGTTTACCCTTCATCATGAAGAATGTGCTCTCTTCAGTGGCATCAGAATCATAGAGCCAGATGCACAAGGAGAATCTCAGGTCCCAACACAGGCTTAGGAATCCCATTCTGCGTTTTGGCTCCCAGGTGCCTTATGTGTAAACTGTAGTGTAAGCAGTACCGTTCTGCTGCTGTATTAGAAGATCGTCATTGTGTCTAACTCAGCTAGCTTTTTATGAATGTCTTCTGTAAATGTGCTGATCATATTGTTTATTAAATCCACTATATGTTTAGTTATATCTTTTTTTTTTAGTTTGCTGAGGACTTTATTGGTTTGTTTTTTTATCTCCTCTTTTTTCATTTTTGGTAATTCGGCTCTGCAACTTTTGGTTGCCTCCAACTTGATTTCCCACATATCTGCTTTGGAGGAGTTGGGGGTTTTGGGGGGCATTTTGTTGTCTTGTCATCTCATGTTTCCAGTGTGTGTGTGTGTGTGTGTGTGTGTGTGTGTGTGTATGTGATGAGGTTTGTGGGTTGATTATGGTGAGAAGACTTTGTTGCTAATATGGAGATCTCTTTAGTTAGTGTCTCTTTTCAGTGATTTACTCTGAGTGTGGCTAATGACAGATTTTTGCCTTAATCCCTAGAGCTGCCCACTTCCATTACTTTGAGGGGAAAGGCTGCAGTGTAACTGTAGAAAATCACCATTGTGAAGATCAGGATAAAGTTCTAATATCCCCTTCATTACTCTCCAGCTCCACGACTCTAGAAATAACCTCAGGTTCTCCTGAGTCTCGCTTCCTCATCTGCATAGTGGCATAAAAAGATCTGCACTCCTTGTTTTTAGGACTTGTTGTGAAGAACCCATTAACTTTCAAAGTATGACATTTTGAAAACTGGAAAGGGCCCCTGAAAGTGGAAGATCTCCCACTGTTTAACACATTATGTTAGGGGAGGGGACACTGACCTTTCCCCTGGCTATCACTTATGAGTTACATTTACAGCTGTCTTCTTTTTAGCTCTGAGTAAACCTCACCATGTGAAGGAGATGTGAGCAAGTCAGCAGATGATGCATTTATTTTTGGACACGTTAATTTCTTTATCAGCTTTATTTATTTTCAGAGGGCATCACTGTATTACATTAATGCCTCAAGTTGCTAACAATACCAGCTGGCGCTGCAGGCATCACTTATATCCTTTGTATAAAAGCTCAGGGGGTAGCATGAAAACTGCCACCCACCTGCCATGCTGGATCTCCTCCTTGGCACACTTGTTATCTTCTTTGGGAACAGATCCACCATTTCCTGCTTTCTTTCCTACGCCTTTCATTTATAATATTATTTGGCATCCGTACAATTTATTTTGTTCTTCTTCTGTGGGTTTTGAGGACTTGGTGGGTAGAGACACTCTGTCTCTACAGGGCTTGACACATAGAAGGGATGTGGAGTTAAGTGCTGGGAAGAAATATAAAATCTACCATTTTATTGTTGTTGATTCATTCATTTGCAGCATCAATGTCCCTTCTCAGAGAGAGGCACCCTTGACAGTGTAGATCAGAAACTGAGTGCCTGGACACCCCCCTGACACCCTTTCCAGAGGCTTATCATACCTGCATGTGCATCATGAATGAATTTCTTTCTTGACAGCTTGCAAGTCACCTGAGGATAGAGAGTGTCCATTGTGTCCTTCTCCCTATCCTCAGGATTCAGAGCAGTACTCACCACATAGTAGGGTGCTCGATAAATATTTGTAGAATCACAGTGGAGATTTCAACATTTATGATAACTTTCTAAAACCAGTGTTTCCTGACATACACTTCCCCATTTGGAAATGTGGCCAGTAGCTTTCCATTTAAGGAAGTTTCCTTATTTTAGTCAAGTTTCTGTTGTTGCAACAAAACACCAGAGATAATAAATTTAAAGGTAGAAATGCATATTTTGGCTCATAATTCCAGAAGTTTTATTCTACAGGCAGTTGGTGTCATCATTTTTGGGTCTGTGGTGCAGCAGTATGGCAGGGTGGGAGTGCATAGTTGAACAAACTGCTCACTTCATGGTGCCCAGGAAGCAAAGAGAGAGGCAGGAAAGGGCAGGAGTCTCAATATCCTCTTCAAGGGCACGCCTCCAATGACCTAACTTCCTCCCCTGGGCCTTACCTTATAAAGGTTCCACCACCTCCCAACAGGGCCACAGGCTATTGATCGAGCCTTTAATACACGAACCTTGGGGACATTTAAGATTCAAACTACAACATTCCTTATCCATTTTGATAGTAGTCTATTGTTTGGAGGGATGAAGTATAATATTTATTATTTCAATAATACATACAAATGTCATTTTCTCCACTCTTCTAGATAGGAATATGGTGTATGGCCCAGGTCAAACAGCTTGATTCTAACCTAGGCCTAACTGAATTGGCTGTCACACTTTCCACTGAGCAGCCCTGCGCAGGTTGTGTATATAACTGTCTCATAGTTTTTCTTTGCCATCTGTTCTTTAAGAAACAACACTGTCTGAATAGAGCCCCAGAATCTAATGCCTAATGCCAGGAAAATAATTCTCTAAATTTAATTCTTGTACAGATTTGTTTTAGACAAGAATTACTCTACAATGTAGCTTTCATACTTTCACATTGAACCATCTCCTTCCAGCTGGGGCATGTAACTTTACTGTTGCCTGGCTCCATGTCTCAGAATTAGGACAGGGATGGTCAGCCTGTTTCTCCAAGTGCTTGTTGATGATGGAGGGCTGAACCCTTCGTCCATTTGTAGGAACAAGGTCAAGGCTCAGAGTAAGTTCTAATGCAAATGTATTTGGATTTTTAGGGAATCCATCTTTCTCCCTTCCAGATAAACTGTCTTTGATGTCCACTTACACAATATTTGTTTGAGACATATAGTCATGAAATCTAATGAAGAAAAATGGTCATCAGTGTAATTACTGTCTGGCTGTAGACTTCCCAATAACATTTATGAAAAATGTGCATTCTCAGCCGGGCATGGTGGTGCACGCCTATAATCCCAACACTCGGGAGGCTGAGGCAGGAGGATCGCTGTGAGTTCGAGACCAGCCTGGGCTACATAGTGAATTCTCAACTATATAGTGAGACCCTGTCTCGCCCCCCCCCAAAAAAGCATTCTCATAATTTACTTTGCATTTATCCTATTATTTAATGCTTTCCTTGATATTTTGAGGCAACCTTTCAACATTTGTTTGCCCAGTACGTGTTTCACGTTACCTTGGTCAGGCATTCTGGTAGGTACTGAGAATGCAAGGGGGAGAAATCTTGAACTTTAGCTTCCTGCACCAATCATCCTTGTAGAAAGGACCAACGTCTGCCTGGGAAGTGTTCCCAGAGGAGACAGTGTTGACAAAGTCTGGATGGATGAGAAGAATGAACAGGTCTGGAAGCAGACGGTGTCTGAGAAAAGAATGAAAAATGGGTAAGGTCAGGATAGGGGAAGAACGGATGTAAAAGCAACCGATTCTACAGTCCAGTGAATTCTGACCAAGCATTCTGATTTAATGCCTTTAAAGGAGAAGATAGGATTCTGATTGAAGGAAAGACAACATTCAAGATCCTAGTTTTGCTCTGAGCACATTTTAACAGCTTTTTTTTTCTGTCATTATGTGGTCATTTTGGTGGAAAATGTCTCTTCCTCCCATTGCCAGGAAAAAGCCATTGGACTGAGCAGAGAGGAATCTGTTGTGGGGTCCTATAAAGTCAAGAGTGGCTGCATGTTTTTGACTGAGACAAATGGCATCATGTGGTTGCCAAGGATGGAAAAGCCACGTGACTAAGGGCCCTTCCATTAATGGTGGTGTTCTCTCCAGCCAAGCCACAGGATGCTCTGGAAAGGAAGATATGTGTGACTTTGCCCTTGGGAGAGAGAAGCAATAAGACAGCTGGGCCTTGGGTCTGCTACAGTGGGGACTTAGGCTGGACTTGACCCATGGCTTATTTTGAAAGTTGGCTTGCCATGTGACTAATTCATCATGTCCTGTTACCCAGGGAACATGTAGCCTCAACTCCTCTTTTTAGACAAGAACATATGACCCAGAGACTTCATGACAACTTACCCAAAGTTACACAGCTCACTAGTGCCAGGTCTCTATTGATTCAGTGCTGACCTTATTCTGCCTCATCAACATGTTGTCATTAATATTTACTGAATGCGTTGGTTTACTGAACATCTTGTTGAGCAACGGATGACCTTCCATGGGGAGGCAACATTCAGTTTTAGTTTCAACACTCACTGTTCTTGGGTCTTCTAGCTTCATAGTCTCAAAGCCTCAGTTTACCTGACATGCAAAATAGAGATGAAAAGAGTACTAGGATGCCATGAAGGTTGCAATAGTGCGTGTGGAGATCAGCACAGCATCTGGAACAGATACTATAGAGTCCGTCATTATTTATTTAATCCTTCAGGGCTACTCTTTCAGAGCAGAGACATTTAATTCTCCTGTGTGTCTGCCCTAAAGATGGTTAGGAAAGGGTGATGTCCACTGAGTGTTTTCATTCTGTCTCCCTCTAAATCCCAGTTGACAATTCCAGAAGGCAGGGACTTCTTTCCCTTGCAGGTAACCCTTTCTCCAGACACTCCTTCCCCTTCCTCTGGGTTCCTGGCAGCCAGAATGCCCTGGAGGAAATGTGGACGTGTTCTCATTACAGCCTCACGACCTTGGGAGGGAGCTTTGTCAATGGTACAACCATGCATTTCCTGAATCCATTCCGGGAGGAAAGAGAGCCAGCTCTGGATGGTATTTCATCCATCTCCGAGAGCGGCCAGGTTTGGGTTGGCTCATGAGCTCCGTGACTTGTCATGATCTCTGGCATTCTAAGAATGGGTTCCATAGAGACCTGGAGTTAACAACAACAGCAACAATAATAATTATAAGCAGTGGAGTCCATCAGCCCTTCTGGCAAGAAGCAAAGGAGGAGTGCAGTTCAGCATATACTTGGCTGTGCATATTCCTAACAGCATAATAGAATTCACGCTGTTCCTTCTGCAGTGTGATCGCCTCTAACATAGTAAGTAACCTTCTGGGCAGGCTGTGTGCAGATGTGTGGATCTCCTGCTCCTCCGGTCTAACTCATGTTCATTTTCCTGGTGAGTGAGAGTGCTACCTACTTCTGCGCACAAGTTGGAAGGAAGGCTCACCATTCGCTGTGCATTAAGGACAGCAGTACACTTCCTTAGAGTGGTGGAAACTTCACTGAGACCCGGAAGAAATTCCAGAAACAATGGGTCGGCATAAGACAACTCTAGATGCCAGTGTATTCCTTAGTCCACAGTGTCTAAGCCTCCCATGAGGAGAGAGCTTCTGTAATTTTTTTTTTTTGTCTCCTTCGATTTGAAGAATAAGCTCTTTTATTTAAGGTCTCTAAGGTAGTTCTGAAAGTGTCTTGGCTTACTCTTTTTATGTTTTTGGTTTTTTGCATTCTGTGAAAAGGAGGATGGGACTGTGAAGTGGAGAGAAGAGGAATGGATGCACAAAAGGAAGGAGGAAAGCAATATTTACTGGGGACTTACCTAACAGTACAATCATTTGTCTTTTAATTTTCATGACAAACTGGCCCTTGAGATGTTAACTGATGGGCAAAATTGCAAGAACTTTGTGTATTTCTCTTTAGATTTGTTTACCTCCAAATACCCTGGATTCCAACACACATAAAATGATCTTGTGATTTTATTCCCTTTTCTCTAAGCCAGGAATTTATTTTTTAATCCCTAAATTGGACTCCTTGTAACACTTCTGTGTTCCTTTGATCTAAACATCAGACATCCTTTAGAATTTGCGACACTGCATGTTTTCCCCATTTGGATTTCAGTAAGGACATATTTCCCTTACAAACCTATTCTTTTACAGTGCTGCATGCTTTGATTTACTAAACAAAGTCACCCAAGTTTCTTCTAATTTGATTAATTTTAGAAGCATTAATATAATAAAACTATTAATGCTCGCTTGAAATGTAGCTAGAGCTTTTCTCTCCACACATTGTTTTCATACTGAAAATTCTTCTTCATTCTCACTAGGTAAAATGTATTTTTGCACAAGCTACTTGTTCAGTTCATATTTTGGTCAGAAACTAATCTATGCTTTCATGTCAGCAGTCATCTGGAGAGGGGTTGGAAGTAAGTGATTACATAAAGGCAGCAAAATTTCAACTTAGAGAATGTGTCAGTGAGTGCCATTCTCCCCTGAACTTATTTTCTCTTCCTCTGCACCACTCTATTTCCCTGAAAATAAGACATTTTGGAGCAAAAGACACAATAGAGCTAATTTTCAGGGGATGTGTTTTCTAAAATCATGCTAGAACTTCTTTTGCGGGTAGGTCTTATTTTGGGGTAGGAGGGTAAGGAGGCTCAGTATACTTTGACAACTGAGATAGTTCTTGTGGTCCTTCCATCCCGGCTGTCATCTTATATAAGGAATGAGTGACATCTGCCAGTTATCACTAACTATTTTAAGGAAAACTTCATTTTTCTTTTATCCCAGTAGGGGCACTGAGTTCAGAAATGAGTATTTGCCACAAGATAACATGGGTAGAATGTGGCAGGGCTGCATCTCAGGCTCAGCTCTTTCTGACTTCACCAAACAGGAAGGTGATGGGTAGGAAGTGGGCACCTTAGTAAATGACAGTAAAAGTGTGAGTTTGAAGTATGTATCTGTGTGTATCTATGCACACGTCCGTATGTCTTTTGCCTTTGTATCAGACTGAAAATCATTTTTTTCTCGTTGTTTAGTCTGGTACGGGCGAGTCTAATGATATGCCTTCAGCTCATGGTCTAAGCTTTTTTTGTTGCCTACACTCATAGACACATCCTAGAAGGATAGTAAGCAGTTGTTAAGTGGGCCTTTTATATATTAATTATTATCAGCAGCACTGTATAGATATGGCATTCTCTTATCTCCGAATTACTAACATGCATTCTCACCTTTCCCCAGAGTTTGAGGAAAAACAGTTCCAGTAGTTACAATTCTTGCTACGAATTAAACGAGGAAGCTGTTGAAAAATGTTCTAAGAAAAGAAGAAATCCTACGTGTCTTTGACTTCAGTATCATTATACTGATAATGAGCTTTGGTTTTAAGGCAATTTGGAAATGCTAGGCAGATGTAGACCACTGTGTCCACAAGAATAGAACTGGAAAATAACATCGTTAACAAAGCACCGTTTAGTGAGACGGTTAACTTTACGAGTCAAGTTGACTGGGCCACAGAGGGACCAGATATTTCATTATTCATTATTTTTGAGTGTGCCCGTGAGTGCCATTCTGGATGAGAGCGACACTGAGTGGGAGTGGGCTGAGTACAGCACACAGCTTCTCACTATTTGGATGGGTCTGATCCAGCCGACTGAGGGCCCGAACAGAATAAAAGTTGGAGTAGGAAAGAGTTCTTTTTTTCTGCCCTATTCTTTGAGTTGGAACATCTTGCCTGGATGGAATGGGGCTGGAACTTGGCTCTCCTGGTCCTCAGGCTTCAGACTCAATTATAGGAGCTACAGCAGCAGCCTTGCTGGTTTTCCAGCTTGCAGATGGCGGATCATGGGACTCAGCTTCCATGATCACGTGACCCAACTCCTTACGACAAGTATCTTCCTGCGTATAATAAAAATATATACACATCTGCTATTGGTTCTCTAAAAAATGAATACAGTAGTAAGTTATTACTACAGCACAGGAACCTCATCAAATCACTCTACAGTTTCTTAATGCAGTGTTCACCATCCTATGAATGAGACATTCTTGTTATTTGCATTCTGAAGACTTAGAGAAATAACTTTACCAAAGCCATGTGTCTTGAGTGGGGAGCAGTCACATACCCACAAGTTATGTGCCCTTGTGCAAGTTAATGAATTTATATCAACTGTTGTGTTAAATGGGGATGGTTATGCTCACCTTGGAGAGCTGAGAGGATTAAATTAAGTGATGGGTGTAAAGTACTTGGGACAAAGTAGGGTACATTATAGGGGCTCAGAATTGATAGCTTTTGCCACTTTGTTTCTTGTTTGTGTTAACAAAATTCAAGAGGCTTTGCAGCTTGCAAAACAGATCTAATTTCTCTAACATAATGTATTACCAACAACCGAATTTGATCATTTGTTACTCCCTATTGAGCTCCAATAATATTTCATGTTTTCTTGGGGGAAAAATGTGATTACTGTGACATTTAAGATTCCGCACAGCCCAGGGAGAGGCAGGAGGCACAGACCTGACAGCAAGAGGAATCCTGGTTAGACTGTTACTAGACAAGTCTGGCTGGGCTGCCACACTTCAGGGAGGTGGACAGCTGCAAAGGTCATGGGAGGTGCCTTGTTTCCCAAAAGGTATTGGTATTTACTTTCGCTCCAGCATGTTTCTTCTGCTCTGATAATGATTGTCATCCTCCATTACAATAAATGCCATCAGAGGGAGTTTTATAGGCATATGGCATTCATTTAGTTTCCCCCTCTATGGTCATAAGAGAGTTTGCAAAAATGAAAACAAAACAAAACAAAAAAGCTGCACTCAGCCATTCATCAATTTGTGCTTATTGGATAGCCAGCCTGTGGCCACAGATGAGGGGAGAGGAGCTCCATTTCCAAAGCAACATAAGGGACACACTTCTTTCAGGGTACAGGCTTGAAGATGCTTCATTTTGCATTTCCTTGACAGACTTTGAGACATGGATCAGAGAGCACTACCCAGATTTCCTTGGAAAACAGAACAGTATCAGCCACATTTGCTTTTCATCACGACATCATTTGGAACTGTGGCTGTGCTTTCCAATAGCCAGAGCCTATTCATATCCACTCTATGCTTACAATAATCTAGTGAGGTAGGCAGGCCGCTCTGATTAGTTCTTATCCTACTGGTGAGGGACCTGAGGTTTAGGAAGAAAGAGGCACTAGGCCAGGGAAGAGGCCAGTCTGTGAAAACTCCCTCCACTCTTTTTCCTAGCACATCCATCCTCCCTATCTGGGGGAGCTATTAAAAACAAATCTTATGTCACGTATCAGTAAGGATTCCCCTGACAAATAAAATGAATACTATGCCTATGTTTTACATATTTGTGACTTAATTCAGACGCTTTGCAGCTTGCAAAACAGATCTAATTTCTCTTCATAATGCACTACTCAACTCGACTGGATTAGGAAACACCTAGCAGATTAGTAAAGCACAGTTCTAGGTGCGTCTGTGATTTTGTTTCCAGAGATGACTAGCCTGTAGGCCAGCAAACCCAGGGGGCAAGATCCACCCTGGTTAAGGGTGGAACCAACCAATAGGCTTGCAGTCTGGATGGAAGAAATGGGAAAGGAAGGAAATTGACACAGGTTCAAAGAGCTGATTCTGCTTGAGTAGGTGCATCTTTTGCTGCCATTACCTTTGGACATCACACTAGTTTCTTCAGCCTTTTAATGCAGATGCATACCAGGGATTTTCCTGGAAATGGCCAGGTCTTTGGTCTCAGGCTGGTTCTTGACCCCTCATGTTCTGTGGCTTCCTTGGACTGAGTAGCTACTGGTTTCTCTGGTTCTCTGGTGCACCTATGGCTATTGTGGCACCTCTTGCCTCCGACCTTGTAAACCTACTTAAAAAATCCCCTTGTAAAATTACAGAATCAATTCTGTTCCTTTAGAGAGACCTAAATAATACATTCTCTATGTCTGTATCTACTAGTATATCTGTGTATGTATTTATGCATAAATATGGGTAGATAAGAGGGAATTTATTTTGGGAATTAGCTCAGATGAAGACTGATTATGGAGGCCAAGAAGTCCCACTGCATGTGGTCTGTGAGCTGGAGACCCAGGAAATTGGTGTATAACTGAGTGCAAGTCT